AAGATTGACCTAGGTATTTACATTACCTGGAATTTTCCATTTAATTAGCTGACGTTATTATTATATTATATGGTTTATTTATTTCAATGTAAATTTAAAATTACTAGTAGTATGAGTTGAAAATCATTTCTTAGCTGTTCCAATCTTCTTTGTCCCACAAAATAAGGGAAATGAAAATTATAAAGACAATTATTATTTTACATTCCACAGCATGTCGGTCCATGGATAACTCCTTAAAAGAGAAAAATTCTTGGAGTGCTTTAAAATTTTGCAATTTACCTAATACTAAAAGGAGAATTTTTGACTTATTAGTGATTTGTCTGCTTCCTAGTGCTGATTTTTACCATAGTAAATCTTTGAATCTAATTAAACATTAATGAATTTCAATTAAAAACTCATCCCGATATATATATATATATATATATATATATATATATATATATATATATATATATATATATATATATATATATATATATATATATATATATATATATATATATATATATATATATATATATATATAAAAGGGTCTCAACAATCCAAGAAGGAAAAAGATATATGCAGCCCTAAGGAATTAAAAGTGGAAAGAATAGACATAAAATTAACATTTATTACACTGATTTACTCGTGAATTGTTGATAAATTCCCAACCTAATACTAAAAAAAGGAAATATATTAAATGCTTAGAAAAAAGAGTAGATAAGTACTCCGTAATTTTATGTAGAATCATGGTAATTAATTGAAGTCGTTAAAAATTAAACAATATCATATCAATCTATGGTTTTCAGTGTTACTTAATTAGCGAGATGTAGTCGAACACTTAAGAATAGAGAATCAACCTATATTGATCCATGATAATCATGTGTCAATTTAGTTACTAAAATTACACTCCATAATAAATGAATCATGAAATACAATGGTAGGTTATCATTCATTTTGAATATGTGTGTAAGCTTATCTAGAGATGTTTGGTATGCGTACTTATGTGGATTTAATGTATGAAGATATAGACGAGTGAAACTCAGTTTGTATAAAAGTGTATTAATAAAGCTTAGTTAATAAAACGACGACGTAGAGAAACTAGTGTGTGTAGAATAAAAGAGGGGTCCAAATCATTTATGGATGAAAAGATTTGGCCCGACCAAGTTTCCCGTCTAATTCTATAGTAGCCGGTTGTTGTATACCCGCAAGAATATCTCATTTTCAACTATGATATGTGCCTTTCATGTATTTAACATACTTTAGTACTATCACACCTATGACATATTCGTTTGATGGTAAATATTTGAGTTATATTAGGTCTTACAAATTTATTATTTTATCGTTTTTTTTTTTTTTTAAATTTGCCTTTTCAATTGGCATGGTAATACGACTCTTTTTTAAATATGTCAAATGAAAGCCTTTTTTTAAATCGCATGAATGATGGTGTACGGAGTAAATGGCAAAAAAAAAAAAAAAAAAAAAAATTGAATATTTATACTTTTGAAACTTAATTAATGTCGAAACTTGATGAAAAAACGTTGTATTACTTTACAAAATCTCGAAACTTGGTTCAAGCTCAAATTAAACTGGCCGCTATGAACCATGCATGTATTTTATTTATTTATATTAGACCACTGATGATTCATGTGTCTATCTTTGAATTGAAGGCAATGCGGAAAGATTTCTCAATGTTTGGTTTAAATCATGTAAAATTATATGACGAAACAATGAATATGCTTTTAACAATAGTCAAGTTTGTTAACAAGATCCAATACATCAATTGGTGAAATGGTGATATCATTACTTTCATTGTTATTTTGGCATGTAGAATGACACAAATATTGTTGTATAAAAGTGATTCGATTCAATGCCTCTGATACCACACTATGCACCCACCAGAATTTATCAACTAAGGATGCACATTTTCTGTACCAAATTTTCCTTATATTAACCTTTTCAAACCTATCTAAGCCTATCTATAATTACATATTGTAATGTGCAACAATGTATCTGAAAAGAACTTGGATAATTCTTATTGGCACGCAGTGAACTTAAACGACACTTGTTAGAACCAATTTTCTTCAAATTAGTGATTTGAAGATAAGGTGATGAAAACTGATTAAGCGTAACCATTCATTGTTAATCACGACTATATTCCACATCTAGAAAGCCTATAAAATGACACTTTCAACATCAAATATCACATAGATCCCTAATTACAAAACGATTTGCTTTCTTCAATCATCACTAAGCTAATACATACACACATAACATCTCGACCGACTAATCATCCTATGGCCCAATTTTAGAAAAACCACTCTCTAAATACACATATATACCTCAACAATATGAGCTAGCTTAGACACTACCAAATAAAGGAGACACCTTACAACATGGCCCCACTTGTTGTGTAAATAAATGAGGCCATGGCACTGTCTAGTGGTGCAAAATAAAACTCCCCAAATTTTCTACAGCAATATTTATTTTCTTTCATAAAATTAAAAAAAGATAGATACAAATAATAATTAATAAAGTTAGGATATAAGTGTAGTAGTGTAGTACGTACACAAAATACCATATGTAAGACTATTGAATTGATAATAACATGGCACAGGAAAAAGACTACTTTTGCTCTTGCCATATTATCAACTTTATATAATTCTTTGTATGTCATTCATATAATAAAAATAAAATTTGCTTTTGATTTGAACCATCTTTTTTTATTTTATTAAAAAAAAAAATTAGCTTTTTTGTTCTTGTTTATTTTGACTAAAATAGAGTGTGAAGTATGTGTGTGTGATTTGTTAAGATGATCAAATAATTGTTAAGGCTTCAATCAGTTTGTTGACAAATCTGGGAGAAAGCAGCATAGGATAATGTAATTTGCCCCCCTATAATTATGGGTCCCATTTTTGTCAACAACAACAATGTTTTTTGCAGTTAATTATTGCACATAAATTAAATAAATAAATAAGCATAATTTATATATATTGTAAATAGGAGTTGTATGTGAGCCTTTGATTTGGGATATCTAATAGAATGGACTTGTCGTCGTCTATTAAGAATCTTATTTTTTTTCAACCTTATGTTATAATTCACACTTTTAATTGTCTGTTTATCTATAGAATGTGATTTTGTACATATTACATCTCATATTATTAAGAGTACTTATGTATAGTACGACTACCACTAAGCAAATCTAAGAGCTAGAGATTGTGTTAATTATACTTTAAAGTTGTTTTGAATGATTTCATTTAATAATGGATTTTGCTAATCATAATATAAGGGTACCGTACAGTTGTATATATAGCTTGATAATTATTAAAAGTAGATACAATTAACATTTGAATAATTTATGTAGATTTTAAGTAGAAGTAGAAATATAGCTAGGGTTGACAATCGGGTCGAATCGGTGTGCAGTATCAGCTAAAAAATTTGTTTAATTAGTTATACATCCTTGAGTCCTTGAAAGAAGAGTAAACTAAATTCTTCTATCTGTTACTTTAAATTACTATGGAAATCTTGAAAAATAAAACAAAAATCAACAATTTTAAACTTAAAATTTCTCAAACACGTCAAATTAGCATATACGGAGAATATATAATTTCTGGATAAGGAGATCGAGTGACATTCAAACACATTTGCTTTTTCCTTATTATGCTTTATATTTTCAAGAGCTACATCAACTCGCAAATCCGACCTAATAGATATGATGGCGGATGGCCAGCATATAATTTAAGTTGTTAGGAACAAGTTATTGTAATTTTGTTCGTATAAAGTAATGAAATGGACATTTGATTAGTAAAAATTACTCAATTAAGAATTAAGATGTACACAAACTAATGTTTCTTATTAAGAATGATACGACTACTATTAATCTATTATGTCGTATCACATCAAATTAAGTTCAAGTAGTATTGCTCCATATCTACTATTAGGGCATATTTCCATATTTGCTAGCTAGTAATAATTTAGTTGAAGTGTTGCTCTAACGAGGTAATAGGTACTTGTTCTTATTCTAGTTAATAACTACAAATTGATTATACTTCTGATACTAGCAATTGATTTCTTTAAAAGTTAAAACTCAATTGTTTTTTTATTTCCCCCCCAAGAATTAAAATGAAGCCCTATTTTTTTTTATATTTTTTTTTGCTGAAAATAGAAGCATTTTACTACACAAATGTTAGTCCAAACCAAGACATCCAACTATCTAAGCAAATCTAATGGAAACAGCACATTAGGGTTTTAAACAATTCATTATAAATATATCTTCATTGGGTCTTTTTATTTTTTAACACACGTATGTGGGTGGAGGAAAATATGGTTACTCACAAATCGAGAAAAGTTCCATCAATTCGAAAAATATTACGGGCCCTCCCTCTTTTCACACCTAATAACACATAAAACTTTCATTTACTCTGATACCATGGTAAATCTTTAATTCAAGAGCATTATAAAACCAATATAACTTGGCTTTCTCGGTCTAATCTTGACTTATTTTCTCTTGCACTCTCCCATAAGAATTGTTACCTTTTGTAAGTTCTAAAGGTCTGTTCTGATTTACTGAACTGAGTTAAACTGAACTGAACTAAATTGATTGGAGCTAACCTGAAATGAACTAAATAGAGCTGAAATGAATTATTTATGAGATAAGGAAATTAAGATCTGAACTAAACTGTACTAAAGATGAAGAGGGCAAGCCCTAAGGGTTGTCACCCTTTGTGTCAGCCCTCCCATAGTCAATCAAAAATTTTCCTTATTTTTCGAAAACAAACCAAAACTCTCTAGAAAAGGGTTAGTAAGACTAATATTATGTGTGTGTTATTGAGTGAGTTAGCAAAGGGTTAGTAAGACCAAGAATGTCAAGGAACAAAGGCACACGTCTTCTACAATCTACATACATACCCTCCCAACACAACCCACATCCAACATCATACAACAACAAAGAATAATAACTTAACCCAAAAAAAAAAAAAAAAAAAAAAAAAAAAAAAAAAAAAAACTAATAATAATAATAATAAAATTAGACAAAATAATAAAAAAAAAAAAAGCCAAAAAAAAAACTTTTCCTTTATTATCCTTGAACCCCTTTAATTTGCTCTCCTATCTTAGCTTCCTCCATCGAGTCTGGCTAAGTCCTTACCCCCACGTCCAAAAAAGCCACTTTCTCTCTCCTCTCTTTCTCCCTCTTTATCTCTGGTTTATTTTCTCTTCCTTCTTTCTTTCTCAACTGTCATTTTCTCACATATACTTCACACAAAAGAAACTACGAACTTCACTTTCTCTCTCCTCCCATTCTTTCTGCAACTACCCCCCCCCCCCCTGCTTCCTCTTTCTCTCTCTTCAATTCGATCATCTTCTTCATTCATTAACATCATCCAAACCCTTAAACAAACAAACAACCAATCAATTTTTAACTTCCAAACTCAACTTCATACTCCCTCTTTCAATTCGCTTGTGTGTTTAATTATTGTTATTATTATAACCTTAATTATATGGAGTTATTCCCAGCTCAACCAGATTTATCCCTCCAAATCAGTCCCCCAAACGTACCCAAACCCACTTCCGGAGTCTCCGCTACATCGGACATGGATTTAGCCTTCTGGAAGCGCGCTTCCGATAACTCTAGAAACTCCATCTCCGACAAAACAAACTCCACCTTCGACCTCTCTCTATCACACCCGGTAGCGGCCTCCTCAGCCGCCACCGGGTCTAATTTCCTCCATCATTACCATCACCACCACCAACAACAGCAACAGCAGCAGCTGTACCAGCAGCTGCTACAACAACACCATCAAACAAATTCCAATAATAGTACGATTAGTAGTCATAATAGTAATAGTATTAGTAATAACAGTAATAGCAATAATGGATTGGGCTCGGAGTTGGGCTTTTTAAGGCCCATTAGAGGGATCCCAGTTTATCAAAACCCTCCACCGTCTTTTCCGTTTGCTCCACCACAGCCAATGGATTCTACCAGTATCACCGCGGCCGGTCTAGCTAATCCTAACTTAGTTTCACCCGCATCCAATCATCACCTTCATCATATACCTTATCACTCGCCTTCTTCTCACCACCATCATCATCAAGGGCTAATGAGATCAAGGATTTTTTCGCGCTTTCCGGCTAAACGTAGCATGAGAGCACCTCGGATGCGCTGGACTTCAACTCTTCATGCTCGTTTCGTTCACGCCGTTGAACTCTTGGGTGGCCATGAAAGTAATCATCATATCCATGATCTTTTTTTTTTTTTTTTTTTACAAAATCAAAATTAAAAATGTGAGTATTGATTTTTTTTTTTTTTTTTTTTTTTTTTTTTGGAAACAAATAGGGGCAACACCAAAGTCAGTACTTGAGCTCATGGATGTCAAGGATCTTACCTTAGCTCATGTCAAGTCCCATTTACAGGTTATTTTTTTAATTATTTATGTTATTATTAGTCATAATAAACCTAATTTAAATCAATTATTAAATAAGTTGGAAAATAACAAAGATTATATCCAACCAACTCTCTTTATAATACGCACTAAGCAGTCAGTCTATAGATCATTTCCAATTTTAGTTTTGATCACAAATATCACCAATTTTTAAAATTAGGGATTGTATTTCTTCCAATCGAAAAAAACCCACTGTTTAGCCCTTAAACGACTATCTATTCAGATCTATTTTATCTGAATAGATAAGTCGCGACTACATAAAACAAAGTACAATGAAAGATGAAAATTATGTGGAGAAGTGAAATGAAGTCAAGGCAAAGGGAGAGTTTAAAAATAAAACAAGACAAATTAAATCTTCTTCTTAATTTTTAATTTTGATTTAAATTAAATTTAGGAAGGAAGGGATTGAATTCAATTATCTCGGGAAAATGCTAGTGTAGTGTGTAGTTAGTCTCTCTCCTCCTAGAGATGGGCGAAGAAAATTTATGGAATAATAGAGAGCAAGTACAGGAACACCATCATTTCTCAATGATATCATGTTTTCTTTCTTTACTCACTCATTCATTTTTATTTTCAATTTTTTTTTTTTAAATTTAACCATTACTTGGTTTTCCCCCTTTTTTATTTTATTTTTTTTAACCATAGTTAATTTTATCTCCTACACGCTTATCCATACATCTAATCCCTGCACCCTTCTTTTCTTCCTGTACTACTTACCTACGTATTCATTCTTTTCTATGTTTTTTTTTTTTTTTTTGTTTTTTAATTTCTTCGGAAATTATACTATTTACGATGTACAAACTTAAACAGTTCCAAAGTAACTCGTATTTATTTATTTTTTCTTTTTTGTCTTCAGATGTATAGAACGGTAAAGACAACTGATAGAGCAGCTGCTTCTTCAGGTATGAATTTTCGTACATATGTATTATCGTCGTTAAATAAAATGTTATCGAGGTAATATTATGTTTAATACGAAGTAAGTATGATTAAATTTGGAAATAATTTGATTTAATTTGTTGCAGGGCAAGGGGATGCATACGAAAATGGTTCGTCGGGCGATACATCAGACGACATGTTTGGGAATATGCAAAGCAGTAGAAGTTCCGAGCGACCGACTCTTCCGCATGGAAGATCGTCGCCAAATATGCACCAAGAAAAGGACTATAATTCTCATGGACTTTGGAGCAATTCTTCAAGGTTATTTGATTTTACTACTCGTATTCTTTAATCAATTATATCATTAGTTCTTCATGCATGTTTAATACACATAATAATACGCTTTAGAAATGGGTGGTTTTCTTAATTAAGCCCTTTAAAAATGGAGGTTTAATTAGACTTACCAATGAAGGTAAAAATTTAACTAATAAGATGATTGTAAAACACTAGATAGTTGATCAATACTCCGTATTTAATTTGTTAGCTAGTGATAAATGCATTTGTAAAGAAGCTTGCAATAAGATATAGTTTGTGGTAAGTGGAGTTCATATAGCTTATCAGTGATGAGGTTTATTATTCTCAATTAAGTCGGTGTATGGGTGGTTCAGATGTATGCAATCTTTACCTAGAATTTATAAAGGAAAAGCACTTCTTAATGAAAGATGAGTTTATTTTAGATAGTTGCAAATTCTTTTAAAAGGTGAAATAAAAAGATTTTGATTGATGATTTCATTCTTTCATTCATTTATGTATCTTTTAAACTTTTCTCCTCTAACCTTTATTTCCCTAGATTAATTTCTTAGTGTTCATGCAATTTTGCACGAGGTTAAATTCACATGAAAGAAGAGCTCTAAAAAAGAATGTAAAATTAAAGGGGGTTTAAAATTCAATATAAAGTATTTTAATAGCATCATCAAGAACGCACATTTATATAATAGACACTTAATTAGACTTTGAATTCACATTTTTTTTTCAATTAGCAAAGTTGAATATATAGTATTAGAAAACTAAACTTAGGTATATAATCATCACTAAGATTGATTACCATGCATTGCAATTAATATATAATTAAAGAATCTAACATGAAAAATATTCCTCAACCTTCTATACAACAAGAATATTGGAAGATATCTCTTTCTTTGTGATTTTGTGGGCTTTAAAAATAGGGCATTTTTTTCGTTAATTTTTTTTATTTACTCTACATGGAGCCCGCGTTGCAAAAATAAAATGTCCTAATGTATGCAGGAACAAAAAGAAACTGAAAATATTCCATTCATGGACCCATTTATATATATCATTCTGATCATCAATTACTTTGATCATAATAATTATGGACTATACCTTGAATAACTAAGTGTTTTGTACAAAAACTAAATTGTGAAAAAAAATTGTGTTTTTTTGGTTTTATTTGATCTCACAATTACCTCTACTGATGGAATATATTTCCTTTTTTTCTCTTTCTTGGTTTGGATTTTGGAACTTTTATAGCAGGGAAGCTTGGTTGCATAGCAAGCCTAAGGATTCCTCAGGAAACAACATGCAATGCCAATCTTCTCTCGAGGTACATATATACTTACATCACCCGTTTTATAATAATTTATACATACTCTGTATTCTATTAATTGTATTTACTGTCTTCATCTATAAAAATTCTTCACGTTTTAGAACTTTTTTTTCAAACAATCACCATTAAAACATAAAAGAATATGTGAGACGGATAGAATAAAAAAAATATACACCGACTGTGTTTTTTAGGTTATTGTTTTGTTTTTAACTTTAAATTAATGTACACAAAACAGTGAGTTTGAAAGTTAGTATGCACTATGAAACATAACATACTATATTAAACATATTATTCCTGTGGGGAATATTGAGGGAATGTGCATGAAAAGAAAAGGAAGTTAACCATAAAAAGAAAGCAAAAGTTAAAGAGAAAAAAAAGGAGGATTATTTATACTTATATATTTATTTTTTCTAATTTTCTCTCTCTATCTTTCTCTACTACGTACAAGTATATATCTTCCTTTTTTTTCTAATTTTTCTCATAAAAGTCGCTGCTACAAAGTTGAAAAATAAAAGAGAGAATTTTAGAAAAAGGACAAAAGCCTTTCAAAAGCTGTACAAGTGAGTGTCCTGTGTAAATTGCTCTTCATAGGGGACATTTTTGTCATTTTACTTCCCAAGGAAATATGGCTTCTCGTGACCAAGAAAAAGCTCTGTGCAAAAGCCCAAAATTAAAAGAGCATCAATGCTAAAGAAGATGAAAAAAAAAAAGGAAATTTCACATACAATTTTTTATTTATTTGGTCAAAGGGGTTATTTATATAACAACTTTATTCACTTTTTGTTACATATAAATTTTTCTTCTTCTTAAATGCAGGGATTGAGTATGGGTAAGTCAAATATTCATAAGATGTCGAAAAAGTGTCTAACCACATACATTATATGAATGTTAGTACGAGTATGAACATTTTTTTTTTATGTAGATTTATCCATAATATTACTCACCTTAGCTTGCATCTATGGTGGGGTGATGGCAAAACATTAAAGAATAATGCGGGAAAATTGTAAGGCATAATATAAAGTTGTCTACCTTATAACGAGGAAGATTTTGGTAGAAGAATATTATTATTTTTTGCAAATTTTACAACTTTGAAGTAAAGCTTTTTAGCTAAGGTGCACATGAGACACTAAAACTGTAACAGCCTTTTTACTTATTTATATTTGTAAAACCATAAACATTATCATCCCTCTTTTATTTATTTATTTTTTTTATTTTATTTATAACTTTTTTCAAAAATTTTAATTTTATTCTTTTATTCTCTGAGTCCAATGTCCTTGGATTCTCATCCCTAAGCTGCTAAGTCTCCAACCACATTTTATATGGTACTGAACTTGTGAGTGAACTCATCATCATCGACTTCCTAAATCTTCTTTCTGTAAATTCCTTCTTTTTCTTCTTTTTAGGTCAATTTTTCACTTTTTCCTTCTATTTTAGGTTTACAATATGGTCCAAACATTAATTTAATACATCTTAATCTACTTTCATAATTGTAGAATCATTAGGACAGCTTATTCAACAAGATATATATACATGTAATAAGATCTTGAGTCCAAAGAGTGAAAATAATATAGATTATTGTTTTTTGTACTTTGAGAATTTTGGTGCAATGGTTGTGAAAGCTAGGTTGATATATACAATGTCATATGCATTAGGGATGAGTAAAAATATCTTCTTTTGTCTTTAGAAAAATATGTGATAACGAGACTCCTAAATGCATGTACTTCTAAAAAACTTTTAAAGATATGTCATTTTTATACATACTTCGTGTATTACATTTTGTTGGTTTATAATCTTTCAATTACATAAAATTTCACTTTCACTTTACGCAAAATTATACTACCATTTTCTAGATTTAGATGTCACGTCGTTCAACTTGCTCATGAAACGATTTTTAATTTTTTTGCGTGTTTATTACAATTTACTGTACACGTGTCAGTTTCTTATTCGGAGTTCTTATGCTATTTAAACTGTTATCGTGTGCAGAAGGAGCCAGAACCGAAATGTTTAAGCTACGAGAGATTATCAGAAGTAAGCTCATCAAACATATCATCAGGAGATCATCAAACAAGTCCAACAAAGCCAAATCTGGAGTTCACCTTGGGGAGGCCACTTTAACTTAAATTAATTTTTTAGGTTTCTTCAAATATTTTTTTGGGGAGAAGAGAACAAATATAATGATGATAAAATGAGTATGAAGAAATATAATAGGGAATACAAAAACTACTCATTTTGAAATGATTATAGTCTTCTTAACTGAGCTGAGCCAGGTTGATTGAGAATCAGGTACTCTCTGGTTGAAATTTCAGAGCCAGAAAAAGAAAGGTGGAAAAAAGGAGAAAAAAAAAGGTGAAAATAAAAAAGGAGGAGACAAAAAAGACAGAAAGCAACAAAAGGAGAAGAGGATTGGAATTCAAGGAAAAGGGTGTAATAGTCATTTTCAATGTATAATTTGGTACTAGCTCAAAAAAAAAAAAAAAAAAAAAAAAAAAAAAAAAGGAATAGTATGGTAAGGTCCAAAATTAAAATTATATTGTATTCCCTACGTAAATATGATGATATTCTAATTGATTTTGTATGTTTTTGAAGTGAGATTTAATTAGAGAGAGAAAGTGAGATTAATTAGTGTAGTACTTCTACTTAATTATCTTTAAGGTATGAAGTGATCCTTGGTAATTGTAATGGGTCCCTTATACATTTTGAAGGAGGAAAAAAATGAAGAAAGAAATATTTATTTTGACAAAGCAAAGTTCTTGCTTGATATATTTAAATGTTAATTAATGTTCTAATAATTTTCTTAGATTTTTATATATTGTGAGGGCTTTATGTTCATTCCTTAGCTATGTCACATGCTCTACACTTTCCCAGCAAAGGGAAAGTATAAAAAGTGAACATGACAAAGGTACTAAACATAAAGAACATAATTTTTATTTTAGTACATCTAAAGAAAAAGTTTGGAAATTTTATTCTTCTTTTACTCAATCAACTTGGTGATGAATACTTTCTACAATGGTAAAAAAAAAAAAAAAAAAAAAAAAAAAAAAAAAAAAAAAGACTTTTATTTTTGTTTAATAATTATCATTAAAGTTGTGGGAATAGAAATCTACTCCACTATACCCTTGGCCAATTGGAAAATCATAACTTAATTAGGTGGTTCAAATTTAAATTTTAAACATTTTTTTTCTTACTTAAAGGATTTCCATATATTTTTAGAGTGAAATGGTGAATCACTTGAAATATGCTTAACTATACTAAGCGCGACATTTTTTTTTTCCGATCCAAAAGGATTAGTTTTTTTTTTTTTTTTTTTTTTTTTTTTGGTGTTTAAAGAGTCACAAGGACAGGGGTGAAAATCGATCCCATGATCTTTTGAAATTGGGAGGGAAGATCTAAACACTTGAGCTATCTCTTACTCTCAAAAGAATTAGAATGTATAAGGGCTTGTTCACATTTACTTAATTTCAGTTCAGTTCAGTTTCCAATTTTCCTCTCTCATAAAATATTCATTTCAGCTCAGTTCATTTCAGTTTAGCTCCAATCAATTCAGTTCAGTTCGGTTTAGTTCAGCTCAGTTTAGTAAATGTGAACAGACCGTAAGTGTTGAAACAAGATTACGATAAGAAATCAGTTTCAAATTTGAAGGAAAAAAAAATGACAATCAAGGAAATGAGTAGGTTAATATAACCATCTTAAAAATCATCTCTTATACCTATTACAAATTCTTGTACAATTCTTATAAGAAGACATTACATAAGAACACCCTATTCTATTCATTTTGTTTCTATTATATTTAGGATATACATAATTCTTACAAGCTTATATAAAGATTAAAGCTGATACATTTCAACTTTTCTGAACTTATTTTATCCAAACTTATTTAATTTTAATGAACTAATTTTATTATGTCTGAATTTATTAGAACACTTTTCCTCAAAAAAAAAAAAGGCTTATTAGAATCTTTTTTTTTTATTTTTATATGAATTTATTTGAACTTATGATTTTAAAATTTATTTTCTTTGAATTTTCTAAACTTAATTTGTTTGAAATTATGTTGTATGAACTTATTCTATTAGAATTTACTTTATCTGAACTTATTTGAGATGAAACAAACAACTAGACTATGTGATAAGAAAACACGAGGAAAACTAAGCTCCTATAAAGTTAATAAGGCTTATCCAAATTCAATCTATACAACTAAAATAGGTTATAATAACAAGTTCAAATACAGTCAATTAAACTTGATCTATCACATAAAATCAATTAAGTTTAAATAAGTAAATATCGGGTAAATTGAACATCTTAAGTAAGGCTATATATGTGGAGCACGGTGTGAGGCTATCAGCTATCTAATTAAGGGGACTGCAATGGTTTTGACTTTTTCGACCATAATTGGGTTCTGCAGCACTGTCTGTATGTTATGTATTGTATGTTTACTAACTTCAAGAACCTCCACTCCTTCAAATTTCATGAGTGTATAGGTAGCTTTTGACTTAATCAATTTTTCTTAATGACTTCTTACTAGGATAAAGTTTTTTTTTTTTTAATCTTCAAATTTTACATAGTATTGGGTATTCTCGAATTATTATTAAATGTAAGAGTACTTACATCTTACATACATTAACCTCCAAAATATTAAACCACTTTCACCAACTCAGTATATATTTACGGACTATATCAAACTTACAAAAATAAATGTATAAGCTGACTTTTCATCAATTCATTGTACTCCATAGTTATATTGCATTTGTCAACATGTGTATTACACTATTACTCCGTATTATATTTATTAGAACCATTTAAATATATATACAGAGTAGTGTATTATAAAATTCTTTATTTTATATTGTATACTATAGGTAACTAAGTAAAATATTACGGAGTATTAAAATAAAAAATAATCTAGAAAACCAATCAAGTTCATACTCCCTATTACAGTTTAAATAAAATCAGCTAATTAGTTCATAACTTATGATGAGTGAAAATTAGATGAATAAAACTCACTGTCGGCGGCCTCTTAACTCTTCAAACTATATTATGATTAACAAAGTATTTTGTAGTTAGAGCTCATTTTGTTCGTTTTATTTATATTTAGATGCATGTACTATATACAAAATACGAGTTATCATGATTATGTAAAATGGAAAGAAAAAGTGACAACACGTTGATAATTAAAACCGCATATTTTACTGTAGATAAAGTCCGAAAAAGTAGAATTAATTAGTTGACATGACAGATAATACGGAGTAGAAAGAGTTTGAAGCACAAAACAAAGACATAAGAAGTATTTATTAGACATAGCAAGGTTGTTAAAGCTTAAAGAGACAAAGTAATTACTGATAGTCAATCTGCCAAGAAATACATAAATTCCTTTCAAAAAGAATAACATAAATAAGGTAAACTTTATCAACGAACTAAAGGTTCTTTTCTGCAAGAACTACAAAGGTAATTAAAGAGTTACACCCCCACTCTCAACTAACACAAGAAAATAAAATAAATATACAAGTTAAAAAAAACTTAAAGTCATAACTTAGGATACTGAATTTGGTCCACAAAGAAGGGTATGTTTTTATTTGTAATTAAAGTTTTTTTTTTTTTTTTTTTTTTTTTTTTTTTTAAAAAAAGTACAAAAGATAAAAATTGCAGGTGTACAAACATGTATGCCTTTGTATAATACTATCTCAAAGTGTCAATTTAGAACGAGACAGAGAGCTACTTCTTTAGTTTGCTTTCCCCAAAATCAGCTCTAACAGACCATTGTTGCACCACATTAAGAAATTATGTTACTGTTTTTTTCATTAATTCACATCTGATTTTTTTAGCCTGTAAAATTAAAAGCCTTGTACCTCATTTTTTTTTTCTACATCTAGTTGATGAAAAGAATTTTAGGTTGAATTGGAATTTATGATAAAAACACTCGTCATTTGAAGTTATTAAACTTTAATATTCTAAATCTTTTCTTTGTAATCTTCTAATATATATGCAATCTTTAGGTTATTTTAAGGCTATATTATGTTCACCTTATTTCCACTTATTTCATGGTTAATAAGTTCAGATAAGTTCATATAAGGGTTAATAAGTTCAGATAAGTTCATATAAGGGTTAATAAGTTCAGATAAGTTCATATAAGGGTTAATAAGTTCAGATAAGTTCATATAAGGGTTAATAAGTTCAGATAAGTTCATATAAGGGTTAATAAGTTCAGATAAGTTCAATTCAGGAAAAATAAGTTCAGATAAGTTTTGATAAGGGTTAATCAGGGTTACCAAGTTTAATTTATAACTAAAATAAGTTCCAATAAAGGCTAATAAGTTCAGATAAGTAAAAATAAGGTGAATAGAACACACCACATGGGTAGCTGGTCAAGGCATGCAAAAGCCAAAGAACAAGAAGGAATAAAAACATCTTACCTATAGTGTTTAATGTAACACCAATATGTGGTCAACTGGCCATTGAGGATAGCGTATTGTCTCGCCTTAGGGAAGTTTTCAAAGAAGCGAGGCATGAACGCGAGCCAAGGCAAAGCAATACATGCATGATCAAGTCAAGACACTTAAGATGTGATAAGATGATACCCACATACTAAAATTAGACCAATTTTGAATATTTTGAGACCTAATGACAAAATCCTTAATAATGGTGGAAGTGCGTATGCAACCAAATGTCATAAAACATTGTTTGAAACCATATACATCCACTAGTTAGTCACATAAAAGCATGACGGGAAGCATATATAACCAACTACATTGATATATGAGTATGTTGTTAAAAGAGCCTCAAATTGATAACTTAAGTTAGTTATGGAAAACATTTGGTCATATAATTCACACCTTATAAGACATTTGGAAAACATAAATACAAAAGTTAAGCTACAATAATCATATATCTTTTTTTGGGCTACATACAAAAATTAGCTTAACTTAGTTTAATAAAAGTGTTATATATCCGACTTAGGAAAAAAAAACGAAGCGATAAGCTAGTTTTCCTCTGGATTACGTCTTGATATTTTGGATAAGAGAAATATGCAATCAGGAACACTTTATATGCTCTATGATAAAATTATAGCACTTTCAATAGTAAGCTAAAGCCATTTAATTTGCGATTGTAATTTGTACCCTAGGTAAAGTTTAACCTAAATTAATGGCGAATATTAGAATTTGGAATTATTAGAAGGATAGGAAACGAATATTTAACATATATTGTGACAAAAGTTGAGTAGCTAAGGTGAGATATATCTGCCCAAAATTCTCTAGTTTTCTGGTCAAACGTAACTTTCTGAAGAGTACAAAAATAGTGTAAATTGTCTTTGGGCCAAAAGGAGATCAATGACAGAAAAATAAATAAAAAGGGCCAAAGGTATGAAATAATATTATGCAGAATTTTCATGTACTGTTCCAAGGTAGCAACTGTATCTGTATATTGTGGTCCGACTTCATTTATTACGAGTACTCTTCTTCCATTTCATTTCTCTGTTTTCAATGTCACTATCTCTCTTCAATCA